AATGGTGTGTGAGCTACAATGCAGAACGGAAAGCATGCCGTCATTGACCCGAATGGGGCTGCAGGCATTACTTTGGGCAGCGTCACTGTATCCGAATGGATTTATGAGGTTTAAATAGAGGGGAAGGAGTTGAGCACAACAGTAAGATGATAACTATATCAAATCAGCTAATTCTTTGACAAAAGAGAACTCTTTATGCACATATTCAAATTCTGCTAAAAGCTATTTCTGAATTACTTATGCTGTTTTATACAGATATCCCATTTTCTTTGCATGCCTATATAAACTATACTATGAATGAATGAATGAATCAATCAATCAATTAATCAATCAATCAATCAATCAATCAATCAATCAATCAATCAATCCAATCTTTTTTCATCTTATTTTCTCACCAACTAAAAGCATAACCCATTTTGTTTGTCTGATTACTAGAGTACTAACCTGACAGGAGCTGTGGTGGGCACTTTGGGCAGGTTGATGGTGAGTTTGCCATTGCTGGTCTGGTCTGCTGTGTACAGGACAGGTTTAGTTTTGAACAGGTCAGGTGCGGTACGAATAGAGACCTGCTGCTGCAGGCCACCAGCGCTGTTTCCCCGGCTCATCAGCACGAAGGAATAATTAGTGTCCGGCTGCAGTCGCGTGATCAGCTTCCTCTTGAGGTTGCCCTGGACTTCCACACTCTGCTGGTTATAGAGGATCTGCAGGAGGGAGAGGTTCAATTTCACTCAGTTGCATGGGAGGCTCACTAAATCTAATTTTTATTTAGTTTCATTTAAACAAAGAACTTGATTGCATAAACAGACTTTATCCCCACGCAGCTGCTTTTAGCGATGGAAACCGTGTGCTGTTTTCTGGGCTTGGCCCATCAGGACATTACGCCACACAGACTGTCTGTCAAGTTCACTGTAGGCCAGAGACCGTTCTGACAGACTTTCCACACTGTTTCTGCATACTGACCAATACTGTGACTTGCAAATTTTGCTAAACCACATGTGAATTTACAGAATCAGCACTTAAAACCTAATAGGTAAGATTACATTCACATCTGTCACAGTCTAATAATTTTGTATGGGATTTAGACAATTATACAGTTAACTCCCAAGTGCAAGCCTATAAAAAGGGTATAAAAACAAACAAATGCTTGTGAAGAATATATTTTAATACAAGGAACTTTTTGTCTATGTTCGTTAATGGGGTCTTACCTTAAAAGGCACTTGGGATTTATAATTTTCTGGCACCTCCCAGGTGAGAAGGACAGAGGTTTTCATCACAGCTTTGACACCAAAACTTGTGGCAAATGCTATTGGACAGAGAACAGGGATTTCATGAGCATATATATAGAGCATAGGATTTGAATTACGTATAAGATAACATTTAAAACAACACTGATCTCTTGTTGTGTGAAATTACTGACACTGCAATAAAGTGCTTATAATATCTTGTACTTACATAATTTTTAATAAAGAAAGAAATACAGCCCCTGTCTAAATACTGCCTATAAAAGCTGCTCTGTACAATAGAAAATCAGCTTATTTGTTGAGAAAAATATGAAGAAATAGTGCTATAATAAAAGTGCTATACCTCCTCCGACAGGAAGCTTCAAACTTTTTTTTTTTAACTTATTAGTTTTATTTTAGTATTATTTATATATTATTGTAGTTTAGCTTTTTTCTAAATATTTCAATATAAGAATTTTTTAACTTTAATAAAGTTTTTGTTTTAGTAATTATAGTACTTCAACTTATTTCAGGTTGTTGCCAAGGCAACATTTCTAAATTTTTCAAAAAAAAATTTAATCTTTTTTTTTTATCTAATATTTATATTTAATTTTATTTAAGCTTTATTTTAATTATCGAAAACTATTTTTAATAACTTTAGTTTTTAGTATTCCGTTCTTTCAGTAAAAAAACCACAAAAAAAAACAAAGGCAGGATTTTTCCATTTGCCTTAAAAACCACCCAATGTGAAGATAACTGGACTTTATCATAGTGCACATTCATCACAGTGTTAGCATGAAAAAATGGCTACATTATGTCAACCGTGTGTTATTGCAGAAAAATAATAACATTTGTTGGTTATCTGGTGATTTTGTTTGTGACCAACAGTGGGCAGTGGCTTTCAAATGTGTTAAGACAGAAATTAACATGTTCCGGTGTTATTTTTTGGACCCAATCTTTCAAGCAACATGAACAGGTGTGTAGTATGTGGGCCTTCATGCACCGTATACACTATATCATTAAATAAAGTGTATAAGGTGCATTATGCTGTAATTATGTTACAGTGCATTGCAATTATCTGTGGATTGACACAGTAATAAATTACACTTCAGAGGGATAAAAGGATTTCTGCATCTGTTTAAGCGATTTAACGTAAGCCATGCACACTAAACACAAACCAGGTGATGTAGACATGGTCCTGCTCTGGATACTAGGACTTATGGGACCCCCTCCCTTGCTGGTGAAGGCTTGCACACGGATATCATAGGTGGTGTCTGGCCGAAGCCCCTGGATGGTCATTTGAGTGTCAGATGTGCGATTGGTGCTGTTCTGTATGTTGTTGATGTCACGGTACATCACTAGATATTGTGTGATCCGGCCGTTGCGCTCAGAGAGGGCCGGGGGGTCCCAGGCAAGGCGGGTGGTGGAGGTGGTCAGGCCCACGACACGTAGGTTGAGGGGAAACCCACTTGGCACATCCTCCGGTGTGCTGATCTCTTTTACATACTCCTCTCCAGCTCCTGCCCGGTTTCTGGCGCTCAGGTGGAAGGTGTAGGTGGCGCCCTTGTGCAGTTCTGTGGCGGTGTGGTGGTCGTCGTTACGTGCGAACTCACGGACTTCATAGTTTTCATCCTCCACACGCTTGTACCGCAGTCGGTAGCCAATCAGCTCACCCACCATGTCCTTAGGAGGCTGCCACTGGATGAGGGCTGTGTTGCCAATGGTGGTGCTGAATATGAAAAGGCATTGTTAAAAAGAGCGTTATTTGCATGACCACTAACACCACATGCCACCATTAGGTATCAAATAACCTGCCTTAAAAGTGTGTTTCCTCTTTTATTTGATCTGGACTGTCTAAAAATCCTCTTATTCTGGCATTACAGACCACCTATTTATGGCAAGTAGTCTTCATCAAAGAATTCTGAAAATCATCAAATCATCATCAAATAATAAGTCTTGATAATAAGTATTAATTTATTTTATTTTATTTTATTAATTAAGCACAACTATTTTTCAACATTGCTAATATGAAATGTTGCTTGATCAGCAAATCAGCATATTAGCATGATTCTGAAGGATCATGTGACACTGAATACTGGTGTAATGGCTGCTGAAAATTCTCAGGAATAAACTGATATATTACAACAATACACAAAATCTACCACAAACTTTTAATGATGTATAACTACAATGACTTATAAATGTTCTTTCATACTGACCTTAAAGGGGTCCTATTACGCTCTTTTACAAAGTCTTGATTTTGTTTTGGGGGTGTACTAGAACAGGCTCTCATACTAGGTTGTTCGAAAAACACATTATTTTTCACATATTTTACATTATTACAACACCTCTCTCCCCAGTCTGGCATGAACGGCTCAAATAGTTCCTGTATCAAATGAAGGCCCGCCTTCTGAAAGACGAAATGTGCTGTGATTGGTTAGCAAGGCCAGTGTGTGTTGTGATTGGCACCACTCGGCGCCTGGTCGGGAAATGTCATGCCCCTTACCATAGCCGCCTGCGACGAGCTTCAGTGTAAATATTGCATCAAAATCAAACGAACACACACACGCACACACACACACACACACACACACACACACACACACACAGTCTTCATTAGGGTTAAAACACAATATTTTCATGACTTTTCCCAAAGATAGTCTATACAGTAGTAATACATTTGCTCTAATGATTCAGCATCCACACAGTGAGAATAAATTTGGCTTTCAGCAATCAAACAGTTCTCCAAATTCACTTTCAAATCGGCACAAACAAAGAAATGCATCAGAGCTAAATTAATTAAATTATAAACGTTAACCTACTAAAACTGTGCTTCATTAATCCAGTTACTCAACCCCTTTCAACATGAATAAGCTATATGAATATAAAACTAAATTGACTGAAGAAATGTCTTATGAGGAATGTCTGTAAAGCCTACAGTTACTCAGGTAATCTCTTCTTAGTGTACTTGCAGGGTTACCTGCACATGATGTGCTGAAAATCCTCACACACATGGAAAGAAATCAAACTCGTACAAAAATGAAAGCATACGGGTTCAACCGCATTCAAACACACACAAGGAAATAAACCAAGCACATGTTCACCCGCCACACACTTATAAAAATACCAGGCTCCTATATTACACATGCCCACACATCCTCTGGTAAATTAAATTCCTGAAAATGGCATTTTAAAAGCTTCTCGTTAGCCTTTTTAGCATGTCTTAACTGTGTTTCTTCTATAATTAAGCTTTTAATTATATTAATACTTATACCAATATGTGCCCACTGTTTCACAATTTTCTTTTTTAAAATGGAGATTGCTTGGTTTGGTTGGCAGTCCCGCTGAAACCCTAGAGAGGGAACACGGGATAAAATGCAAATGACTGGAAAAATGTAAACAACCTTTTAAATTTGAGCATTTATTCATTACTTTAATCACACAAAATTACTTTTTAAAGGCAAAGCAATTGCATTTTCGTCTCTCATTTTCTCCATCTTAAGTAGTGCTCTTTTATCAGTTTTTCGAGCAAAGGGAACAGCTTGCACTCCCAGAGAACAGACATTTAACCAAGTAGGAAGAGGTTAAAACAATTCTGTGAGTACACTAGGGCACGTTCACTTTTAGCAGCAATTTATTATAAATTAAGCATTGTGCTCTCAAAGCTCTACTGACAAAAATGGTTTTTAGTTAACTTTGCATTATTGCATTTGATTTTTTTCTCATCAGAATTGCAAGATATAAACTCAAGACAAGACAAGTTTATAACACAGATGTGAGAAAAAAGTCAGAATTGTAAGATAGACTTTTTTCGTCACCCAAACGACAGTTAATAACTCAATATTCATGTTCAAGCTAAATTTGATTCTCCGGAAATCTCTTTTGCTAATGGAACAAGTTGAGAATATTGGCGTGGCATCTGTGGGGTTAATAGGTGTATGTTTTCTCTATACACTGAGTCACACTTCATTAGTGAGCTAGCAGCTGACGCCAACCTTCAAAATGGCTGATTGCTAGAATAAATAACAGAGGTGCACAGATGTCACACGTTGACACCAGTGTGTCTCTCTGCTGTCAAGCCATAATCAGTGTCATCAGTGAAAAGAGCAGCACAGTCCCATTACGTGTTGCTGGTACCTCTGAATAGAGCCTGAGGTGAAAGAAATTAATTTAGGTTCTCACCTTTGATTAAAAAAGAGGATCTAAAAATGGCTTAAACTTAGGTAGGGCAATGTCTATAGTACCATATTAAACTGTAAAATTACTGTAAAAACCATAATTTACAGTTCAGATACAAGTTTTCACAAAAACAAAATGTTTTATAAAATGATAAACTTTACATTTCAGCCTTTAAACCATTTTTAACAAAACTGATGAGTCAAAAGTATTAATTATTATATTAAACAATTATTATCAATAAATTATTATATTATATCAATTAAATAACATAAATTAGGGCTGTGACAAAAAATGAGAGTCAAAAGTATTAATTATTATATTAAACAATTATTATCAATATATTATTATATCAATTAAATAACATAAATTAGGGCTGTGACAAAAAATGATATCTCGATAATTTTCTGGGATTTTATCAATAACGATAATTAGACAATATTTTGCTATAGAGTGTGTTATTG